CAGGCAGGCATGGCACCACTATATCTATATCTATATCTTTATCTATATCTATATCTACATCTATATCTATATCTATCTTGATTCTTTTTTTCCCCAATCTCTTCCTTTCCTTCAACCCCTCTTATCCCCCTTATTTACAAAATTTTCCATATTTACAAAATATGTAAATTTCCAATTTACAAAAGTTTCCATATTTTTCCCTTCGATTCCTTCCTTTTCCCTTTGGAATTGACTTTTAAACAGCAAATAGAAAAGTCACAGCCCTCAAGTTTTACGTAAAGCAAAGGATACCTAAATCGAGGAACTTTTTGTCAAGGGATGACTCTTACAAGGATAGAAGAGATTAAGTGTGAAGGTGCAGTCTTAGGTAGTCAGGTAAGAGTGAAAGAGAAAGCTGTTTCTCTCATTGACTGTTTCGGGTAAGCTGTAATTTGTGCATGAAGCTGGGTGCTTGTTGGGATAGGTCAAGTTCAAACCTCCTCTGCTCGATGTCTCCTGGTGGTGGCCTCAGTTATTTGCTTTGAAGGGATGTCATGTGGCTCCTGCAACGGTTTTCTTTATCCAGCTGAGATATTTGTTTGTAAAGAGAATGTAGATGCCAGGTTTCTTGGGGTCACCACATTTCCCAAAGGAAGTGAGACCCCTGAAGATGTTATTACATATCAGAGGACTTCCAGAATCCCTCTGGGAGAGAGTCACATGTTTTAAATGAGTGCTTTCCCACAATAGTTATTTACCATCTTATTCATTTATTTGCACTTCACCCTGGCTTTCTATTTTTCTTTCCCTACTTAAAGACTCACTTAAAATTTCTTTTATCACTTGCCTGCTCTCATCATCAATTAACACACATTTTCTTATCTTTTCCAAATCATTTTCCTTTTGAAAAAGGCAATTCTGGAGAAGATGTGCAAACTCATTTTTCTAAGTAAACAAAGAAAGCATAACAAAGGAAGCCTTTAGTTGTGAAAAATAATTGTCTCCTTCAGTATACCTGTGTCTTCTTTTCTTGGCCAAATGATGTCAGGGAAAGAAACAATGTTGGAGCTACTAGCAGGCTTGAGATAGGATCTTGCCTGCCCCCTGGTCTGAGGACACTACCTAAGCCATTCTCAGTCAGAAAAGTATTGGTGATATTTCAGACAGATTTTAGGTAATCTCTGCACCCCCTGGGATTTTTCAGCTCCCATTATGTATTCTCTCTACTTACGAAACTCACTAATGGATCTCCAGTTTTAAAAGGTTCAAACCCTGATCAGGCCTGTTTTAGGTAAAGTGAGAGACAGAACAGTGGAGGTGTGATGAGTCAGATGACCTCAGTCCACATAAAGGCCCATTTCACTAAGAGCCAGGTCAGTTAACTTTGGGAAGTTAAGTCACTTTTTACTTCTAGGTTTCCTCATGTACAAAACAGAGATGATAACAGTGCCTATCTCGTAGTGTTATTTGAGGATTAAGTGATTTGGTGGAGTACTACAGAATTTGGTACCATTCTGGGCACTTATTCC